GCCCTACCCTGCCCGCGTGCCGCCCTACTGGCCGCCGCGTCGCCCTGCCCTGCCTGCGCGCCGCCCTACTGGACGCCGCACCGCCCTGCCTTGCCCGCGTGCCGCCCTGCTGGCCGCCGCCCTACTCTATGCGCTTCCCTAGCGCTTGCGCGCCGCCTTGCTCGTCGCGCCGTCCTTGCTTGGGTGCTGCCCTGCTGCTCGCGTGCCAACCTGCTCTGCCTGCTATGGCTACTCTCAGCGTTCTCACATTCGATCCTGAGGGCCGTCCGATGCAGTTCGATACGTGGCTCAGCTGTTCCTACTGAGCGATTCTAGAGACGGCGTTTTGTTGTTTGACCACACGTCTGGCGCCTCTCTCACCCCTCCTGACATAGCTGACAGTGCGACTCGCTCACATTGCTTACCCGTGATGCTGCTGCTCGCCTAGCGGTTCGCAACCACTTGCCGTTAGCCGAATGACGCTGTAGTCGCTCGTTACTCCTCCCCTTCCATTGGTGCTCCAGGCCGCCATATAATGCCCTACATGTTCCTTGAGTTGTCTGCCTTTGCCACAGTCGCCGACCTCATCACCCACCTTCGCACTAGTGACACTCGCTAGCGCGCCACGCTTCCAACCAAGTTTCCAGACAAGAACCCCCCCCCCCCCATGTACATCACTCTCCAATTCATCGTCCCCGGCCTCCTCGACTCTCTTAGCGCAGTCAAGGACCTCCTTCTTGCCCTTGACCCCACAGACCTCACTGTCGATCTGCTCGAGAAGCACCTCCTTGCAGCTGAGACCAGCATAGTCACTGTAGGAGCTTCTCGTGGCACTCCTCGCACTCCCTTCTTTGAGGGGTGTTCCCCCTCCCCCCTTGTCCCCTCTGTTGTTTCTGCTGCTGCTGTTGACTTCCTTCATGCTGAGGAGGTCGGGGTTGCGTCTGCTCTAGTGGGAGGCGCCGCAGCGGTAGGGGCAAGGGAGGCCAGGGTGGTGGGGTTGGCAGTGGGGGAGGCGGTGGTGGGGGCGGTGGAGGTGGTGGAGGTGGCGGTGGTGTGCGGAGGGAGTGATGGTGGGAGTGGAGGTGTTGGTGGCGGCGGTGGTGGCGGCAGTGGGAGTGGTGGTGGCGGCAGTGGGAGTGGTGGCGGCGGCAGTTGGTGGCGGTCGGGGTGGAGGTGTTCAGAGGGGAGGTTCTGGCGGTGGCCAGAGGGAGCAGCAGCAGCGTCCGAGCGAGACCCCTACGCCCTAGCAGCTTTGTGAGTGGTTTGCTCAGCGTGGGGCGTCTGGGGGTAGTGTTCGCTGCCCATTTGTCATTTGCACAGGTTGCCGCGCTGGTCAGACATGCGGGAAGTTTCACACACAGCACCGCGGCTTCTCCCGACTTGACGATGCCTGTCGCATAGAGTTTCCTGATGTGATTGAGCTCCCCCGGTGGCTAGAGCTGCTTAGTCGGAGTCTTGATTATGATGCTATCCCTGCTGCCCTGTATGCATTGACCATTAGTGCTGAGGGTGACTGTTACATGTGTGTGCCGCCCGACCCCAGGTATAGAGGCTGCTGCTCTAGGTGCTACTAAGTCTGCTCTCCCTGGTACTGCGCCTGCTGAGACCTTGCACACCTTCACGGTTGACTCAGGTGATTCCCGCTATTTCTTTTGCGACATCACCACAGTCACACCACTCCCTGCACCTGTTGCAATCAGACTGCCTGACCCCTCAGGGGGGTCCAGTTCTTGCCCGTTTCTCCACTATTCTTCCGTGTTCGGCGTTTCCGTCCGACTCACTTTCAGGTCTTCACCTCCCCTCGTTCTCTACGAACTTGGTGAGTACCGCTGCCCTCCAGGATGCGATGGTCACTACCACCACTCCAGGGGGTCAGCGTGTGTCGATCTGCACGTGTATACGGACGGGCCGTCACCTGGCCACGTTCACCCGTCGGCCTGGGTCAAGACTGTACACACTGACTACTGAGCATCCTCAGGTAGCTGCACCTGCGTCCGCGTCAAGTCAGCTTGTGCCCCCCTGCTCGTGTCGCGCCCTGTCGCACCAGACTCTCCTTTGGCACCACTGCCTTGGTCACCCCTCCCTGCCATGCCTGTATGGCATGCACTCCCGTCTCTTTGTCTTTGGTCTTCCCATTTCTCTGCCTCCCCTCCCGCCCTCCCCTGCCCCTCCCTGCCTTCCCTGTGTCGAGGGTCGGCAGCACGCCGCTCCTCACTCCTCCTCGTTTCCCCCAACGACTGCTCCCCTGCAGACTCTCCACATGGAAGTGTGGGGCCCAGTCCGCATCCGTGGACAGGACCGCGAGCGAAACTTTCTACAGGTTGTTGACGACTACTCGCGTTACACCACTGTCTTCCTTGATGTTTTGATCCCTTGGATCCGCGCTGTCCGTCTCCAGCTCCGCGAGCGGCCCCACACGGACCTTCCTGTCCTGCGTCTGCACTCTGACAGAGGTGGTGAGTTCGCTTCCGACCTCTTGCGGGACTTTTGTCGTGGGGAGGGCATTCGCCAGTCATTCACGCATCTGGCCTCTCCGCAGCAGAATGGGGTTGCTGAGCGCCGCATTGGCTTAGTCATGGAGGTCGTTCGTACCTCCATGATCCATGCGGCTGCTACCCATTTTCTGTGGCCGTTTGCGGTCCAATATGCTGCGCATCAGCTCAACCTCTGGCCCCGTATCTCCTTGCCGGAGGCCTCGCCGACACTGCGTTGGACGGGAGAGGTTGGCGATGCGTCGGTGTTCCGGGTTTGGGGATCTCGTACAAGCTCTCCTCCTGCACCATTCCCTGTGTCTTCCTTCGCTTTCCCCCTGTCGCGCCTGGCTGGTAGTTTTACCACCCCCACCTCACGCCGTGTCTTGCCTTCTTAGGATGTCACGTTTGACGAGTCGGTTCCCTTTTACCATCTCTTCCCCTACCGCACTGCCCCTCTCCCTCCCCCGCCGCTCTTCCTCACATCAGGTCCCCCTCCGGTAGACCCCCTCCCCCCTCAGGGTCCTGCTCCCTCAGGTGGTCTCAAGTAGACCCACTCCCCTTGGCTGAGCCTGTCGAGGTCGCTGTCGACTCTGGTGCTGCTGGGGGTGGTGCTGCTAGGGGTGCTGCGTTTGGGGGTGCTGAGCCTGCGCGTACGAAGCCTGGGGTGCTGAGCCTGGAGTTGCTGAGTCTGAGGGTGTGGAGCCTAGGGTGCTGATTCTGAGCGTGTGAGGCCTTGGGGTGCTGCTCTATACCATGTGAAGAAATGAGGAAATGAATGAACTAGCGAACAGGTGGGTACAAGTAGGAAAACCTAAAAGTGTTGTACCCCATATTGTCTACCCCACTACAGCCTACACGGACTATAACATATGAGTTTGACACCAAGAAATCGCACGCAAGCCGAAATGTCAAGCTCTTGGCCAGCCCGACCGCATGCATCTGGATGCCCCTTGAAGTGCCAGTTTCTAGCGGGAAAAGAACCTGCCCTGTTAGGGCAGCCGAACAAGTGGTGCATATTGAAAATGCTTTCTTTCTTATTCTTATCAATTGGCATCGTTCTTATTACACATGGCTTATTACGACATTTGCATCGACATTGAACACAAATAGTGCATACTAATAACACTAGCTACGATGTACCCTATCCAAGTGGCATTAGCAAAGCGGTTTACGCTGGGGTGGGTGGTGGGAATGTTGACTGAGCCGTTTGAAAATCGAGAAACGTGGGTGGAGGGAAATGAACTCCAACCCACAGTTTTGTAGTTGGAGAAGGCGTTTAGCGCGCTTGGACGATGCCAATTGTGCAGTACAAGCAGCTTCGCTTTCACAATACACAATTTTGAAAAACACTATGTGTGTTTAAAAACTATAATAAGGGCATGTTCCTACGCTCTTATCAGGCAAACCTCTTGTCAGCCTTGCCTGGTAAAAGTAGCGAGGGTTTGTGGGTTTAGGGAATTTTCAGTGTGTTTTGACGTGAGCTTGATAAGAGGTTGGCCTGATAAGGGGCCGTAGGAACATGCCCTAACTCCACTTTCATGCACCTCACCCTCGCGCATGACTGCCCGCTGAAACCACTCCCCTTTTGGTTTTGTATCTCTGCCCGGCGCCAAAAAATGACTTGTATCAAATTGTGTCAGCCAATAAAACGCATACAACTGTACCTCTCAGTCAGTCGCGCAGTGTCGCGGTACATCTACAATTTGTGACGCGAGGTTGGGCAAATGTGCAGATGCGACTCGCGAAAACTGGAATTGAACCCTAAGGTGTTCCAACAATTGACTAGAAATATGTACATACCGTACGGTAATCAAATCACGCATGTTTGGACAAGCCACTATGGTAATTGCAAGAAGAGAATAAGAGTGCCGATCTAGCATGGCAAAGCCTGACAAGCACTCATCCGATCTAAACTTCCCATTACTATTCACAATCATCTTCCAGCTTATGCTACCAGACAGCAAGCCGGTGCTTCTAATGAATGCAGCGGAAAGAGAGGAAAAACATCCCAAGGTATTCGCTGTAATAGTGGAGAAAACACACACGGAGGACACATATTGCTTAGATTGGGTGCGAGCAAGAATGGGAGAACTGGGATGGAAATTTGTTGAGGCAAGGAGATTTAATGTGTGCACGTGTGTGTGTGTGTGTGTGTGTGTGTGTGTGTGTGTGTGTGTGTGTGTGTGTGTGTGCGGGCGTGCGTGCGCGCGCGTGTGTGTGTGTGTGCGTGTGTGTTTGTGTGTGTGTGTGCATAGATGTGGTGCATTTGCGTATGTGTGTGTGTGTGTGTTTGTGTACGTGCATGTGTGTGTGTGTGTGTGTGTGTCTGTGTACGTGCATGTGTGTGTATGTGTGTGGTGTGTGCACGCATGCATGTATGCGAGTGTGGTGTGTGTGCGCAGCACACCCATACCCATCGTACGCACACACATTCATGTGTGCGTGGGGGGGGAACAGGTGTGTGTGTGTGCATGTGCGTGTGTGTGTGTGTGTGTGCGTGTTTGTGGGGGTGTGTGCATGTATGCTGAAAGAAATAGAGATCGCGACTCACGGGATGGTCCACACGCCGATCTGAGGTGCACCCGCCAAGCTGAACAATGAATTGCACGCTCCGGCACACCCATACCCATAGTACGCACACACATTTGTGCAATTTCCCATCCCACCCGGGGCCGGCTCTATGCGGGTGTAGGACAGGACATCAGAGGCGCGGGGGAGAGTGATGTCGGTGCAGCCATCCCAGTGGACCCGCATAGTGGATATGAAGCGAGTTATGGTGAAGTTGGGGTGATCATAGAAGGTGAAGCTGGTGGAGGAGACGGTGGGGGTGGCCCCTGAAAAGGATTGGAACAGAGGGGAGAAGGAAGCTAATACAAACAACATATGCTCTTACACCAGTTTAGGGTTCATTCTGCTCTCGAGGTTATTCACACAGCACATGCTCTTGTGCATGCAGATATCAAGTCCAGGGGGGAGTATCCACACCACACACACTACTGCACTCACTCTCTACACACACACACAACACAAGCACTTGCGTTGCACTCACACATACATACTGTGCACTCACACATACATACCGTGCACCCACACATACATACCGTGCACCCACACATACATACCGTGCACCCACACACATGCACCTTGCACTTACACATCCATACCATGCACTTACACATCCATACCATGCACTCACACATCCATACCATGCACTTACAAATCAGTTGGCTTACACTGACACACATACGTTGCTTGCATGCATCCGGTGCTGGTCATGCCATAACCAGGAGGGCACATCGACACAACGCACACTCCTGCACTCACACATGCATACATCACATGCTCTTGTATGCTCACACATACGCACCTTGCACGCATCCAGTGCTGGTCATGCCGTAACCAGGAGCGCACATGCAGTAAGAAGGCCAGGTCGATGGGAGAGGCGTGCACACAGCTCCTGCAGGGCAGGCCCCACACGAAGCAGGTCCTGTGGGGAGGGCAGGAGGAGCAGGAGGAGGGTGAGTTGGTGAGCTGAAAATGTGGTGTTGTGTGTGCAATAGCAGACTTTCAAGTGGCCCTACAGAGCATGCCCCACACGTGGCAGGTCCTGTGGGGAGGGGAGGAGGAGCAGGAAACAGGGAGGGAAAGGGGGCGTTAGAGTGCAGCACTGGTAGTGTGCAGCACACTCGGAGAGAGCAGACTATCAAGTGGCACCTGCAGGGCATGCCCCACACGTGGTGGTGCCTGTGGGGAGGCAGGAGGAGCGGGGGAGAGAGGGGGGGATCATGTGGGGTGAGCTGACGATGTGGTGCTGTGTTTGCGGTAGGCCAGAGCAGTCATTCGAGAGAAGACTGTCGAGTGGGCCCTGCAGGGCCAATGAGGAGGGCAAGAGGACCCGGTGGGGGGGAAGGGGGGGGGGGGGGGGGGGTGTTGTGAGCTGACAATAATACAGCAGACAGGGCCGAGAGAGGTGAAAATCACGTGCCGAGAGGTGAGAAGTGGTGAGAGGTGGGAAGTGGTGAGAGGTGAGAAGTGGAGAGACAGGTGAGAAGTGGTGAGAGGTGAGAAGCGGTGAGAGGTGAGAAGTGGTGAGAGGTGAGAAGTGGTGAGAGGTGAGAAGTGGTGAGAGTGTGATAAGTGTTAAGAGGTGATAAGTGGTGGAGAGGTGAGAAGCGGTGAGAGGTGAGAAGTGGAGAGAGGTGAGAGAAGTGGTGAGAGGTGAGAAGTGGTGAGAGGTGAGAAGCGGTGAGAGGTGAGAAGCGGTGAGAGGTGATAAGTGGAGAGAGGTGAGAAGTGGTGAGAGGTGAGAAGTGGTGAGAGGTGAGAAGGCGGTGAGAGGTGATAAGTGGTAAGAGGTGAGAAGTGGTGAGAGGTGAGAAGCGGTGAGAGGTGAGAAGTGGAGAGAGGTGAGAAGTGGTGAGAGGTGAGAAGTGGTGAGAGGTGAGAAGTGGTGAGAGGTGAGAAGCGGTGAGAGGTGATAAGTGGAGAGAGGTGAGAAGTGGTGAGAGGTGAGAAGTGGTGAGAGGTGATAAGTGGAGAGAGGTGAGAAGTGGTGAGAGGTGAGAAGTGGTGAGAGGTGAGAAGTGGTGAGAGGTGAGAAGTGGAGAGAGGTGGGAAGTGGTGAGAGGTGAGAAGTGGTGAGAGGTGAGAGGTGAGTATCACGTACCAACACACTTGTCGGTGAGTACCTCGTATTTGCACACACAGGTCACTGCACCCGCAGCGTCCTTCACACATGCATGGTTGCCGTCACAGATAGAGCACGGCTCTGCAGGGGGGAGGTGTGAGAGAGGGGGGCACGAAGTAAGGGGCTTTTGAGTCAGTTATAAAAAGCAGCGTCCTTCACACATGCATGGTTGCCGTCACAGATAGAGAACGGCTCTGCAAGTGGGGAAGGCGTGGAAGGGTGGGTGCGTGGAAGGTTGGAGTTTTGTTTGATGCTTCAAAAGTTATGGCGATTTTCTGATGCAAGGGGAAGAAACAAAGCAGCACATGAAAGAGCACGCACACAGCAACACATGGCAGCACACGAAGTCAGATTCACACACACAGGACGCCACACCTGCAGTGCTCTGTGTGAGGGCAACCCATAACATGGAACATGGAATTTCACAAGGCATTGCACCCACCAATGCACGTCCCTGCCATTGGGCCTGCAGCACGAAGCCTGCGTCACACACACAGGACGCCACTCCACGCTGTTCACAACGCACGTGCTGTTGCGCTGCAGGCCTTGACCGCACAGGGACCTGGGACGGGAAGGGGGTGATGGAGGAAGTTAGGCGAGTGTGAAAGAGGAGGGAGTGTGGGAAGGGACACAGGATGCTACCCACTGCTGTTCCAACGCATGTGCTGTTGGCGCCCCAGACCTTCACCACACAGGGACCCTGGGAGGGGTGGTTATGCATGAACGGAACGGGAAAGGGGAGGGAGAGGGGGTTGTAAGGCCAGCAGCACCTCATTACTCGCCAACACCACACCAAAATAATTACCAACAGGGACACAGCTGAGGGAGTGGTAAGTGGTACTGACCCCACTGGAGAGTAGTTGTTTGCTGGTGGTTGGGGTGGGTGGGAGATTTTTTAAGACGCCTCAAAAGCCATCACAGCAGCACCCATCAAAGCAGCAGCATATTAATCAGAAACACTGTTGGCACTTACCATATGGGGACACAGCTGAAGGAGTGGTAAGGGTACGTCCCCACTGGAGAGTGTCGGTGATGGGTGGGGTGGGGGAAGACATGCACCCACCAATACAGCAGTAATGCATTACTCACTCACCGTCACAGCAGCACCGCATTACCCGCCAACACCACAACACTCACCGACAGGGACACAGCTGAAGGAAGTGGTAAGGGTACGACCCCACTGGAGAATGGGGATGGGAGAGACATGCCCAAACAGGCATGGGGGCAAGCCAGAGGGGCAGAGGGGGGAGAGGAGAAAACGTGCATGGGGAAGAGGAGAGACAGAGAAGGAATGCTGTATAACATGCTATTTACCTAATGTAGGACATTTGAGAAGTAATGCAATCTCAACGAAGAGGAGTTGGTGGTGTGGGGCCTGGAGACATGCCCGCACAAGGAATTGGGGCGGGGTGTAACGAGGGGGCCAATCATAGAAGCCATGACTCACCTTGACCCCGTTGCAGTGATTCCGGTCCCATTGGAAGCAATTGGCAGCACGTGGCAGGCCCCTGGCAGCTATCCCGAGTGTAACCATACACCGAGTCGCAGTGACCTCTGAGTCAGTAAACTCAACAAAAGCTGTGATCCCCCCGCACTCACATGACTCATTCTGCAATGATTCCGGTCCCATTCGAGGCAAGAGGCAGCCCGTGGGAGGCCCCTGGCAGCTCTCCCGAGTGTAAACCATACACCAGATGCACAGTTACCCGCACCACCGGAACCCCCATTCACACGCCAGAGAGACAAGGCACGCTCGGCAACGGCTGCAGGGGATGCTTCTGCAGGAGTTGTATGGCAGGCGCACGGTGTAGGTGGTGGGAGTGATGGTGTGGTTGGTCTGATCGCAGAAGATGTGCTGTGGAGGAGGCAGTGGGGGTGGCGCTGCAAGGGGAGGGGGATATGAGGAAGATAGCTGATTTATACACACGCATGGTGAAGATGTTGGACGTGATGGTGTTAGTTGGGCTAATCGTAGAAGGTGCTACTGGTGGAGGAGCATTGGGGCGAATACTGAGTAGCATGCTATACTTCGATAGACATGCTTGTTAACGCGAGTTGGGTGTTGGCCTCGTCCTCACTTGGACAGAGCCGACTTTGTGGTCGGGGTGCGCGGTAAGTGCAGCGACTAACTGCAGTGGGCGACGCCGACTTGGGCGAGCAGGTCGACAGAGTTAGTCGACCTGCACCAGGCCAGTGCGAAGCCGCCGACGACGAGGGCCCGGCGGCCAACTTCAACTCGGTAGTCGACGAAGGGAGTCGTCGACCAGAGAGGGGCGTTGACTTGTAACGCCGACATGGGGAAGGTGACTCGGTGCAGTTGGCGAGGCAGCCAGTCTGGTCGCCCCGTAGTTGTCGACTTGTGGAGTGGTTGACTTGGTGAAATCGGCTGGTGGCCGTCGACCTGGTGTGGTCGACAAGCACGTACAACTGTAGGTCATTTCCTACCGAGCAAGTGGACGCTGACCTGGTGGCTTCCAGGTCGACCATGTAACCAAGGCGACGAGGTTTTGCGGGGCAGTGCGACCGTCGCCCAGGTGGTTCTGGCGAAACCGACCTCAGAGTGGTACCCGATGTCGACGTGGCTCATTAGGCGCCGCCAACGGCACGTGACCGATTTGTCACCTGCACTATGCACGTAACGGTGCATGTTGCGCCAACCGACTACGAGCACCTGCGAAGTAGGTGCGCTGCTGTCATCCGTAGGAGCAAGGCTAGACAGCCTTGCTGCAGCGTTGGCACGCCGTCGACTTGCAGTGTTGGCAAGCCTCCTTTTTGCAGCGCTGGAGCGGTGCGGACTTTGCAGTGCTAGAACGCGGTCAACCTTGCTACGCTGGAAGTCGACTTGCTTGCATGCTAGGCGGTCTTACTTCTGATGTAGTCAGCTTTGCCACTGTAACTACCATTAATGTTCTCAACTTTTGCAAGTAAAACTTCGCGGTTTTGCCCTGTAAACGCGCAAGTGCTAGAGAACACTAAAGAACGCTACGATCACTCCTAGAACCCGTGCCTTCCTCCGTAGTCATGTTTCCGATGTAAAGGTAACTCTCCGCACATGCCACAATTGGATAGACATGCCACATTTGGAAAGACATGCCATAATTGATAGACATGCCACAATTGGAAAGACATGGCACAATCGGATAGACATGCCACAACTAGATAGACATGCCACAATTGGGTAGACAGACATGCCACAATTGGATAGACATCCACAATTAGATCGACATGCCACAATTGGATAGACATGCCACAGTTGGATAGACATGCCACAATCGGAAAGACATGCCACAAAATGATATGCCACAATTGGACAGTTCGAAAGACATGCCACAATTGGATAGACATGTCACAAAAGGATATGCCACAGTTGGAAGAAAGGACATGCCACAGTTTGAAGAAAGGACATGCCACAGTCAGAAGGCTATGCTACAATTGAAAGGACATGCCAAATATGAAAGCCCATGCCATTGTTGGAATTCCATGCCATTATTGGAAGCCCCTGCCATCATTGGAAGCCCGTGCCATGATTTAGAGGCATAACCTTACCGCTGATGCAAGACGAGCCCCATGCCATAGCCGGGAGGACAGATGCAGTACGGCACATTGCTAGAAGTAACCGTGCATGTGGCTCCTGTAGGGCAGCTCCCACATGTGGTAGGGCCTGGGGAGGTGGGAAGAGGGAGGAGATTAAGAAAGGGAGGAGATGAGGAGGAGCAAGGAGATGAAAGAAAGAGACCAGATAAGGAAAAGGGAGAAAACCAATATTCACGACACAGCACGACAAAAAAACAAAGAAACGGTGCAGGTGGCTCGTGTAGGGCGGTCTCCACATGTGACGGAGCCTGGGGAGGCGGGGAAGGAGAAGAGATGAGGAAGAGTGCAAAAGGTGAAACATCAGATCACAACACACCCTGGCAAAGCATATTATAGCACATGGAACAACAAACACCAACATGGAGCAGCAGAGGAGCACAGAGCTCTCGACAAAACACCAGCGCGGCATCCGAGTTGACCGACACCCCTACACCAACGCGAATGCCGCAGCACAAAGACGAACAAACACACGCACACGAATGAACGCCTTACCAGATTACACCGCTAATATGACCTGACCGTACTGACACATTTGCCGGAGGTGCTCTGATAGCCTATTTTGAGTGGACTAAAAAAGACTGCACCAGCACGTACCAACACATTTGCCGGAGATGCTCTGATAGCCCACCTTGCACACACAGGTTGCACCGCCTGCAGCGTCCCTCACACAGTCAGTCGTGGGATCGCAGATCTTGGTCCCACACGCCTCTGAAGGAGATTAGATGGGAGTAGTACGAAGAGAACACCAAGATAAGAGGTGAATTTGGATCTTGGTCCCACACGCCTCTGCTCTGTGGGAGATTAGACAGGAGTGGTACGAAGGGAACACCAAGAGAAGAGTTGACTTGGGATCTTGGTCCCACACGCTTCTGCGGGAGGACAAAAGAATGGCAAGAAGAAATTCTTGGTACTGACATGGAACGGAGATCTGGACCGGGCATGGGGGTTTGGGAGGGTATGGGAAGAAGAGGCATACATGAGTGAGAGGGAAAGAGACTGAGAAAATGGATGGGAAGAAGAGGAGGGAAAGAGATTGAGAAAATGGATGGAAAGAAGTGGAGGGAAAGAGATTGAGCAAATGGATGGGAAGAAGAGGAGGGAAAGAGATTGACAAAATGGATGGAAAGAAGAGGAGGGAAAGAGACTGAGCAAATGGATGGGAAGAGGAAGAGAGAGAACGTGGGAGTGGACGTAAGGGAGGGAGCATGAGAAAGCATGATCCACAGTTGCAGACAGCGGCGCACAGCACCACACAGCACCACGCAGCACCATACAGCACCGCACAACACCACACAGGACCACACAGCACCACACAACACTACACAGAACTCACACCACCACACAAAACTACAAAGCACCTCACAGAACCACACAGCAGCACATACCAGTGCACGTGGTGCCGTCAGATTGCAGGAGAAACCCAGCATTACAGACACAGGAGGCAACCCCAGGTGCAGACAGACAATAGCGCACAGCACCACACAACACCACAGAGCACCACACAGAATCACATAGTACCGCACAGAACCACATACCAGTGCATGTGGTGCCGTCAGGTTGCAGCAGAAACCCAGCGTTACAAACACAGGAGGCAACCCCAGCACTATCCTCCATGCACGTGCCGTTGCCTCCACAGCTCTTGGTTGCACATGACTCTGTGAGGGAAAGAGATAGAATATTCTACAGGATGAAATTTCGCTTTGGGTGTATGTGCACTTGGTGTGGTGTGGTATGACATTGCAGCAGCAGCAGCGCGGGTGACATGTGACATGTGAGCAGAACGGGAGTTTGCTGAGGTGCCTCAAAAGAGATTGTTGTAGTAGTAGCCAGCAGCGGGTGACATGCGACACATGTGAGAAGAACGGGAGTCATAACTACGAGATTGCAGGAGGGAATTGGGCAGTTTGAAGTGCACTTAAACAAGATCGGTGAAAAGGTGACTTTTGCGTCGACAAAAAAGTCACGCCGCTACAGTAAGAACATTGCAGGTGGGACCTGTGCGGTCTGAAGTGCACTTGCGATCATGAGAGCTGTGAAAGCAGCCGTACTCACCAACCAACACAGCAGCACTTTTGAGACGTCTCAAAGGAAACTGTGTTGTAACCTGTTTGACGTGCAATGTGAGAAACTGTGCTGTTTGACGTGCACTTGCAATAACAAGAAATTTGGAAAGCAGCAGCACCCACCAACACAGCCAGAACTCACCAGCAGCAACGCAGCTGAAGGAGCTGTACGGATATCCGAAATAATAGCTGTAGGCGAGGAAAAAGAACACACAAACAGGCAGGCAGTGATGAAATTAGTTTTGAGGCGCCTAACAAACAGACTCTAAAAAAATAAGAGTTGTAGGAATATTCAAAATATTAGCCGTGGGAGAGGAAAACGCGCACTCAAGCAAGCGAGCAGTAAGGAAACGGATACAGAGAATAACCCAAGGATCCATGCGTGCCCGAATGCACAGACCATCAAGCCGATTGGATAAGGAACGACTTGTTTGACCACCAAACGGTTTGATCATATTCTGAAGGAAACCAGAAAAACGCCCTTCCATGTCGATTTCATTTCAACATGTGTGCCGTTTAAAGGAAAATCATATTTTTCCATGTGTGATGTGGGTCATGTGTGCGTGCGCACTCCTTCTCACACCCACCCGCCTCACTCACACCCCACCTCTCACTCACACCCACCCGCCCCTCTCACATCCATCCGCCCCTCTCACACCCATCCGCCCTCTCACACCCATCCGCCCCTCTCACTCACACCCACCGCCTCTCACTCGCACCCACCCTCCTCTCACTCGCACCCGCCCTCCTATCACTCGCACCCACCCTCCTCTCTCTCACACCCATCCACCACTCTCACACCCATCCGCCTCTCACTCACACCCACCTGCCTCTCACTCGCACCCACCCTTCTCTCACTCGCACCCACCCTCTTCTCACTCACACCCACCCGGCCCTCTCACACCCTTCTTCCCGAACTAAACCATCAACTCACATCGACCCGCCCGTTTTATTAACTGGAGGGCGAAGCGCCGTCTTGGGACCAAACCCTAAGCCGCTCCAGGGAATGTGTACACAGCAGCAGCACACCCCTCCTGCCCCTCCAGATTCTTACATCACCCTGTTTCATTCACACCACCATGCCCACAAGAAACCATCAACTCACTCACATCGCCCTGCCCGTTCCATTAGCCGGAGGGCGAAGCACTCCAGGAGTATGAATGCATACACAGCAGCAGCACAAACCCCCTGCTTCTCCTGATTCCCAATCACTCGCCTCGCACCACCCCATCCTGCCCACAACAACCTATCGACGCACTCACATCGACCCGCCTGTTCCATTAACTGGAGGGCGAAGCGTTGTCTTGGGACCAATGCACCAGCTGCTCCACGGGAACGCGTACACAGCAGCACAGTCCCTCGCCCCCCAGGCACCCTGTCCGCTCGCAGAATCGTCGCGTGGCCTCAACGGTGATAGGAGGGAGGGTGGTGCAGCGTTGAAGTTGAGTCGCATTGTGTAGGTGTTGAAAGTGACGGTGTAGTTGGTCTGATCGTAGGTGATGCTGGTGGAAGAGACGGTGGGGGTGGCGCCTGCAAGGGAGGGGAGAGGAGAGGAACACAGGGAGGTGGAACGTGAAGGGTGGCCAAGGAAAGGCTGTGACTCGCCCATAGGGTAACACGGGTGGATTGGGGTGGGCAGGGAGTAAGAAACGGGTACATATTCAGACATTGTTATAAACACCAGCGTTGGTCACAGCGAGACTACAAACAACATTGGGTCATGATGACTGGATTGCAAACAACATGGGGCTTACCGCTGATGCAGCCAGTGCTAGTCATGCCATAGCCGGGAGGGCACATGCAGTATGGAACGTTCCCAGAGGCAGTGGCAGTGCATGTTGGTCCTACAGGGCAGCCCCCACATGGGTCGATGCCTGGACAGATGGGAAGGAGAGAGAGAGGATGGATGAGATGAGGTGACTTTTGAGTCGACTCAAAAGTGGCAGCAACAGTGCATGTTGGTCCTGCAGGGCAGCCCCCATGGGTCGATGCCTGGACAGATAGGAAGAAGAGAGGATGGATGGAGAGATGGAAAGGAAAGTGGAGGGAGTGTGGATTAGGAAGAAGGCAGTGGAGAACGATTTTGTCTTTTCTAGAACCCTTATGGTGGATTGGGAGTGTGAGGGATGAGAGCGAGGGGCTGTATAGTGATGGAGCTTGTTTTGTTTGTTGAAGCAAAGGAGTGGGTGATGTGATGCGAATGGGGTTATTTTGAGCACAGAGCAAAGCACAAAGTTGAGCCACACGCAACTCGCAAAAGGTCATTGTGGCCTCAAAGGTAGTGTATTTATCTTATCTGAATGAACACATACAAGGAGGGTGTACAGGATTGAATGAAATAAAGGCGTAGAAAACAGAAAAAGGGATGCATGCAGCAAAGGTCATCCTAACGTATTCATTCACTCAATCACTGTACGTCAGTCAATGCCACCTGCACGTCAGTCAATGCCACCTGTACGTCAGGTCAGTCAATGCCATGTGTGCGTCAATCAATACCACCTGTACGTACCCACACACGTGCCCAACACATTCCGATAGCCTGTCTTGCAAACACAGGAGGCCATGCCTGCACCGTCCTTCACACAATTAGAAACCGTAACGTTGCAGCCCTGACTGTCGCAGGTATCTGAGGGAAGGATGGAGGGGGGGGGGGAGTGAGGAATGACTTTTGAGTTGACTCAAAAGTCAGCAGCGTCCTTCACGCACTCAGAAACTGTAGCGTCGCCGCCCTGAATGGCACAGGTATCTGAAGGAAGGATGGAGGGGAGATGGAGGGAGAGGAACATGGCACCACATGGATGGTAGCACATGGATGGCACCACATGGATGGCACCAAAGGCACACACATCGGATCAGGACAACTGCTCACATTTCGCCTTGAAGACGCCTCAAAACCGGGCCAAGAAGAGCATACAAGAAACTAAAAAAAGAACGGGTGTTAGCGTGAACAACGATTGGGAAGGATGTTGCTTTCATCTGGCCTCGAAAATTTAGAATGAACTTTTGGAAGGAGGTGGCTTTTGGAATAGACTTGGGAGTGGAAAGGGGTTGGTGGGCGGGTGAGAATGGAGGGAGTTGAAGAAGAGATGGGAAGGGGGAGAGGAGGAGAAACAGAGGCAAGGCGAAGAACATAACAGCAGCACGTACCAGTGCACGTCTTGCCATCCGGCTGCAGCTCAAAGCCAGTGTAACACAGACAGGACGCCACTTTAGTAGTGCCAAACTTCATGCACCACCCGTTCACACCACAGGCCTTGAGTGCGCATGTGTCTGGGAGGGGGAAGAGAGTGAGGAAGGAGAATAACATGTGAACGGAGAGTGCTATTTCTTACAGAACTGGGGTTTCGGGTACAAGGATTGTCAGGAACAGAGGTTTGGCTTGCTTTGCCATGGAGCACAGCATAGGAACATGCCATAGGGGGGGTTGGAAGAGACGGGAGAAGGGGGGCCATAGGAGAAGCACAGCACAGCAGTACATGCCATCAGGATTCAGGAACACAGCTTGCACAAGTTTCAATCAAAGCATTGCAGCGCATACAAGCATAAGCACACAGCAGCAGGCACTAGTGCGCGCGCGCATCCTGTCATCAGTGCACCAGAACACATGCAGCATGTGGAAGCACATGGCATGATGTCAGCATGTAGCAAGGCAAAGAACCCACCAGTGCACGTCCTGCCATCAGCCTGCAGGACGAAGCCAGAGTTACAAACACAGTACGCCACAGCATAGCAAATGGCACATGGCATGGCACATAGCAAATCACATGGCACATAGCAAATCACATGGCACATAGCAAATCACATGGCATTGAGTAGGCATGGCACAGCACCCACCAATGCACGTCCTGCCATCAGCCTGCAGCACAAAGCCAGCGCCACAAACCAGGACGCCACTCCAGCACTGTCCTTGATGCTCGTGGCGTTGCCTCCACACGCCTTGAAAAAGCATGTGTCTGGGTGGATGGGGGGCAGGGGGGCAAGGCAACCAGGTTCCCGGTTGCAGCACTTACCAGCACATATGGCAGGGCACATGGCATAGCACAAGTGTCGTGAATCCTCCTCTGCAGACTCTCATTCTCACTCTCCCATGCGTATCCCGCTGATTCTCCCTTATCTCCTTCCTTCCCTACCACAGGTTCAGCCCTTCTTCCTCCTGGTGTAGGTAATCACCCTGTCCTGTAATCCTCCTGGTATCTCAGGCTTCCCCGGCAACAAGTCTAAACTCCCTCGCAAGGGCTCAGTCAGATTGCTGTTAGCTTCTCCTACTGCTAGTTCCCTTCGGATTAGAAAGCAAAATTGCAGTAAACAAGAAACATACAAGCAAAAAGCAACGAGTCTGAGCGCTACCCAGTCTACATCCCCTCCTGCCTAGTTGCCTTGTCCCGCAAGCTACCTCTACCCCTAAGCGCGAGTCAGCTGAGCTGATCGCGTAGGCTTCAAGGTGCTAGCTGGTCCCACTGGGCCCACTAGGCATGCACCGCCTTCCAGCCTGGTGAATGGCGAATTGAATTCCCAGGCTGGCTGGAATCGAATTCGCCACCAACCTCCTCATCAACCTCCTCGAAATCCTCAGCAGCTCGACTCTGTATAGTACAGTAACATTCCAAAGCAAGCACACAAAGTAAAAATGCGAAAAGCAGTAAACTATAGTATGTCAGAACTATATAGCTTATCTATTGTGTAGGCTATAGTGGGGTATCCCATAGGGGGTACAACCAATTAGGGTTTCCTATTTGTACTCACTTCTTTCATAGTCATTTCATTCTCGTTCTCTCTTTCACATGGAATCAGAGCAGGTCCCCTACTAGGGACTGTTTCTTGGGCCCACCGAAGCGCGCCCCGAGGCGCGCGTCCTTTTTTTTAGCGACCCGTCGTGTCGCCCTCCCTAGCGGCCTGTCGAGCCGCCCTACCTTGCGGCCCCGCCGCCCTATCGCGCGGCCTCGCCGCCCTAAGTCGCGGCCTGCCCGCCGCCCTACTTCGACGGCCCCGCCGCCCTACGTCGTGGCCCGCCGCCCTACTTCGACGGCCCGCCCGCCGCCCTA